CTACCAATGTGGGATGGAAGGTTAACCTCCAACCTACAAGTTTCCAACAATCTATACTTGAGCACAATTAATGTTGTCGTGTTTATTTCTTAGCCGGTGTTCAACACATTTGTGTTACTGAACAATGTCCAGGGAACTGCTCTTGTGGGCTTTTGGGGGGGGGGGGGGGGATTGTTCGAACATCAGTCGATTGTAAAGTCAAATTGTGGCCCAACATGCTGACTTAGTTACTTAATGAAAGTTCCTTTAATTTTCTAATCCTTGAGTCCACACTTCTCATACTAACTTCTTAAACTGTTAAATTTTGCCTGTTTTAGCACCTGCAATGATGTCTTAACTGGTTTTACCAAACAATACATAAATTTGTTCCCTTGAAGAAATGCGGGTCATGTTGTCATAAGGCAATTCCAATATAGTAAGGTCATGACCGATGCTAGGACAGTACTTGGTAGGATGTAGTAGCTCATTGTGTGGTCAAGGACCAAATGAACTACGTTTGAGTTTATGAAATTTTAGCTATTAGATTCGTCTTCAGCCTAAGAATTATGCTAGATGGAGGTTGTTCCCATGGATCATGAGTACTGGAGTCCATTGGTCCTTCCAAAGTATTGGCCTTTAGGTGTTAGCTTTTTTGGAATTCGTATGCGTTTAAGAGCGGGCTCTGTTTGTTTAGCTTTTCCTGGTTGGGTCCTCTAGGCTCAGGGACCCTTTGTGTATCATGTCGTAACAAACGGCCTTGTTTTATGTTACATTCTGTTGTAATTGATTTAAAGAAATCCTATGAGATCAAAATTGGTTGTGTTGTTTATCATCCTATCACATTGTTTAGACAATTTGATGTCTAAACCTGTTCAAAGAAATCCAGGATGATGCACTTCATTATCAACAGCATCTCTCCAATGAAGAAAACACAATGGCTCTCTTGTTGCATCATTCCAGAAGCCACTGAGATACTCTAACCTTACTATAAGTTTATGCAAACCATCTTTTTGAACTAAATTGTATGTTGTAATTGAATACAGCAATCAATGATACGCTCTTCATACTGTTAGTACTTCCTTTATCAGTTTACATTAGGTATATTTCAAGATATCCATGTTATGCTGTCTAAATGATACAATAAATGCTTCTGTTACTCTTACCTTTGAAAGAAATTGCAGGATTTGTTTTTGTGATGTAGTTAATGTATATGAAGTACTTGGGCAACCAGGAGCACAAGCTTCACGTAAGGGACTTCATTTACACGGTAAGTGTATTTAATACTCGACTCAAGTATTAGTAAGTAGTAACTTATACTACTAGGCTATGTCATTTTACCATATAAGCTAAATTGAGCGGTTAGATTGTTAAATGCGATGAAGTTATGAAATAGGTGATTTTTTTTTGCTGTTATCTTTAGGGTCCTATGGAATTAGTTAAGGTGCACACAAGATGGTCATGACACCCACGGTTACCAAAGAAAAATGATTGAGATCAATAGTGGTATTTGTAGGACACTATGTACCAGAAAACTAGAAAAACATAAATGAATTAAAATTAGGGATGAGTCGTGGCCCGTGGTAGACGTGGTGGCCTTCCCCTCCCCCCCCCCC